TTTTTTTTTTTTCACCTTGTTTCAACTGACAGACTTTTGCCTCACAAGAGGAGGAGCTTCTAGCTTTACTTGAAGCACACTGTCACATAGGGAAACTTAATAAGTTCAATTATTTCTTTACTATACATTTTTTTCGTTTTAATTTGTTTTCATATTCTTATTTTCACAATCAAACAATTGAAACTTGAGTCATTTGATAGGCTTTTTTCCACAGATAGTGATCTTTAACACCCTAAAATTGCAATTTAAAGAAAAAATATTTGTCCCCCTTTTCGAATTGCATTACCTTTTCACAAGTTTCGTCATCATCTTTTTGTTTAATTTCTGCATCTGATTCTTCTTGATCATCAAAGACCTGAAAATAACAACATTTCACCATAAGTTTTGTAAAGATTATGAATAAACTTATTTATGTAGGTACATTTTCATATAACATCGTACACAGAATATTATTACTGAACAATTTGATATACAAACAATTGATTTATCATTTGTGGTAAACAAATTCTTGATTAATTTTTGGGAATAAGAAACATATAAACCAAAATAAATAAATAAATAAAACTTACATCGTCAAGCACCAAGAGTGGAACACCTACTTCCTTTGCAACTGTTCTTACTAATATGTCCCTGAATATATTCGTACCTTCAAAATTATGAGCAGTAATTTTTATTTATTAACTATAGCATCAATAAATTTATTATTTTTAACAAATAATTTGATATTATTTTCTAGGAAAATAAAATCAAGAACAAAATCAGCATTTATTTATTTATTTATTTAGTTAGTTATTAATGAAACAATTACCTGGAAAACTACGAAGCGAGATTCTCCCAGTTGAAGAGACCAATCGGCTGCACTTGTTTCTCTTCAAACGTCCCACCACACATTCTATAAGCACGTTTTTATCATGTTCACTGCAAAAATTATAACCCCAAAAGAAAAAAAATTCAAGATAAGAAAACAAAAAAAAATAAAAAAATAAAAAAATTTGTAATCGTTAGATTAACTCTAACTATTTATGACGGTTATATGATAATTTAAATTAAAATGATTTCCCTAAATTAAAATGTAACCCAATCAAATTAAACAAAATTGTTACATAATAAAACTTACTTAATGTAATAAGGAAATTTTTTCCACGAGTAATTAAGTAAATCCTCTGGTGCAACAATCTTTTCCAGCAACTTGTCTCTAAATTGCATCTTTATTATCTCGGCCATCTTCTTTAAGTTTGCTTGTCTCTCTCACGTACGAGCTTTTTAAGTGCAAAAGGCTCCACAGTAAATATAGAATATAAATACAAAATCAAAAGGGGAATAAACAGTAAATATAATCTTTCTTTATTTTCTTTCCTTCTTTTGTTTTCCTTGGAGAGCACTCAAATCCCTCTGTATATTAAGACAGAACGCGTTGAGCCTACGTGGCTGTTTCTGGAGCTTCGAAATCCTATGTGGCAAAGTTACATGCTTCGTTATTAGGTTTGGGTAAATTTTAATTTAATTCCAAACCAAAAATAATTATTTTCGGATTACCATAAATATGTTGATTATTTATTGTCATATTACATGTATTAATTGTATTTTAATATCATTCCTTATTATAACTATTGAATTGTATATATATTTTAAAAGTTAATAACTTTTGTATTTTTTATCAGTTTTACATATGT